GAGAGGGAGAGGGAGAGGGAGCGAGGGTAGAGGGAGAGGGGGGGGAGGGGGGTAGAGGGTAGAGGGAGAGGAGGGGGGGAGGGGGAGACGCGCCTGCTGCAGCTTGATGCGCACATGCAGCAGCTGCAGGCTCATCGTGTGCTGCCTAGTAGCGAAAGTCGTCGCCGTCGCCGAAGGAAGGACTCATCACTCAGCGGCTGCGGGATGGTCGTCTGTCGCCTGCGGGTGTGCTCCGCAGCCTCCGCCTCGTCGGCCCGCGAGGCCTGCAGCTGCTGCAGCAGCGAGCTCTCCCCCTCCGCCAGCTGAGCCCACTCTGCATACAAACTGCCGCCGCCCTCCTCCCCTCGCCGCCGCCGCCGCCGCCGCGCGCCGTCGCCGTCGCCGCCGCCGCCGCCGTCGCTGTCGCCGCCGCCGTCTCCGCTGCCGTCGTCTCCGCGCGCGCCGTCGCCGTCGTCGCTGGCGCCCTCCTCGCCGCTGGATAGCTCACCGCCCTCCTCGCCGCTCTCCTCCTCGCCGCCACTGTCCTCTCCGCTCTCCTCCTCTCCGCTGCCGCCCTCCTCGTCCTCCTCGCCCTCCTCGTCCTCCTCCTCGTCGCCGCCGCCACCGCCGTCGTCGTCGCTGCGCATGTCGTACAGCATAGGGTCGCCCTCCTCGTCGCCGTCGGCGTCCTCCTCGCCGTCGTCCACAAAGGCTCCGTCTTCCGGGCCGCCCTCCTCCTCTGCCGCCGCCTGCTGCCGCGGCCGCCGCAGCGCTGAGCGGCCAAAGAGCTTGTCGCGACTCACCTTGCGGCCGGCGTACCGCGCCGCCTCCGCCGCGCTCATCTGGATGCCGGCACCGCGCATCCGCCTCCCGCCGGCAGGCGCCGCCGCCGAGGCCCGCTCAGAGTCGGTGAGCAGCGACGGCCGCTCCGCAGCGGTGAGGTAGCCGTCGCCGTCCTGGTCGCCGTCGACATCGCGCGGCGCGGGGTTGAGCAGGTCCGCGATCTCGTCCGCGAGCGAGGGCATCGCCGCCGCTTGCCGGCTGGTACGTCGTCTGGCGCAAGCTGGGTCTGGCTGGGTTAGATTTTCTTCCGTCGCCCCCCCCTCCGTGTCCGTGTCCTCCTCCTTCCCCCCTGCCGCCGGCGGCTGGCACACACACCAATACAACGTCCCAGACGACGTTCTCGACGCTGCGGGAATCGTCGCCATCGACTCTTCCTTCGCAAATAACGCTGGCGCCGCCCGACGCCGGTCGGTTAGTTCTGGTAGTTATTAGCGCTCTTAATACTAGCTCAAGCCAAAATATGGTGCGCGCGTGTTACATACTGGCTGTGGCTCGCGCTCTGACTGTCGCTAATCGGCGTGTCCTCTCCAACCTTGTTCCGGCGGTCTGGCGCTCGCCTGTACGACGCCGCTCATCACGGCGCACAGCGAGGCGGAGAGGGTGTCCACTTCGTCCCGCGAGGCGAGCAGCTCACCGAGCGGCTGGTCACTCTCCGCTCCGCTAGTCTTGACGCCCCGACTCCGCGCGTCGCCGGTAGCCTCGCGCCGCCTCTGCCGCTCGCGCCGCTCCTCCGCCCGCTGCGCCTCGGCTGCCGCTCGCCGCGCCTGCGCCAAAGTTCGGACGGTCAATGGTGCGGGGAGAGAGGCAGCTCTCTTGGGTGCGGCGGCACTGCTGGCGGCCGCCTGCTGGTCCGCCTTGAGCGCTGCGATGGCGTCCCGGTGGCTGACAGACGCGTCTCCACGTGGCCGCTGCCCGGGTCTGGCGCCGTGACCGCGGCCGCCGGCTGTCACCGCCTCACTCGCGCGGACGCGGAAGCTCTCGGGCTTGAAGCCGCCTCTCCGCGCTGCAGCCTCTGCGTAGTAGGCTGCCGGCCTGGTGCCTTCGACATTGCAGGCGGCGTCGGTCGACGCGAGATGAAGCCCGGCAGCCGATGTGTCAGTCATCCGCGGCGGAGGGCCGGCTTCGTCGATTTCTGTGACTTGACGAGTGGCAGCACGTGCGTTGGCACACTTGACAGCACCGCACGAGAAGCAGGACTGGCGCTGGCCGAGGTTGATCGCGTGGCAGCCCGCGCAGACCCAGTCGCGGAGGCGCATAATCCACAGAGGTGGAAACAGCGGGAGGAGGCCAGGTGCCGGTCGGGGTGGGCAGGGAAGCTATCGAGGAAAGGGAACGCTTGCAGGAGACGCTGCCCCTCCAGCCAGCGGGATGCCGCGCCTTCCAGAAAGAAAGAAAACGCAAATCTCTTTTCTTGAGCAAGCGTGCAATTCTTTTCTTTGCGCCACTAATATTCAACGAACGGCACACACACACACACACACACACACACACACACACACACACACACACACACACACACACACACACACACACACACACACACGCACACACGCACACACACACACACACACACACACACACACACACACACACACACACACACACACACACACACACACACACACACACACACACACACACACACACACACACACACACACACACACACACACACACACACACACACACACACACACACACACACACACACACACACACACACACACACACACACACACACACACACACACACACACACACACACACACACACACACACACACACACACACACACACACACACACACACACACACACACACACACACACACACACACACACACGCACACACACACACACACACACACACACACACACACACACACACACACACACACACACACACACACACACACACACACACACACACACACACACACACACATTCGCGTGAGAGAGTGTGTTTTCGTCTTCTCGTATATATGTGTGTTGTGTTATCTCTCTCTCTCTATCTATTTCTGTGTGTATATTTCTCTCTTATTTTTT